CAGCGAGGACATTCTCATCGTCACCCACCAGGCCGTGCTGCGCTGCATCTACGCCTACTTCATGAACAAGAGCCAGGCCGACAGCCCCTGGATGAACGTGCCCCTGCACACCCTCATCAAGCTCACCCCGCGCGCCTACGGAACCGAGGAGGTGCGCTACGAGGCTAACATCCCCGCGGTCAGCACCTGGCGCGGCAAGGGTTCCACGGCCAAGCACGAGAACCCGATTGCGGAGTGTACGTGAAAAGAGTTCTTGAAATTGGTTTGTGGTCCAAGGTTGACTGAAGGATTGGAACAGGAACTTGAGGGAAACGGACGCAGGCGTATCTGTCTTGTGGTCACAATCTCTGTGACTGGGACAATTCGAGATCGATTTGAGACCTGCGCACGCAAAGGATTTCCTTTTTTCTCTTGACGACGACGACGTTTTCAGACTCCACTTTTCGGCATATTCCACTCGGTTCACGATGGCGTTTAAGGACAACACGGAGAGAAAGAAAAGATGACCTATTACAGGGACGGCGGCAAAAAAACGCGGAGAGTGGTGGCATGACGCGTCGGAGGGAACCCGACACCCATTCTCGATGGAACAAATTACCTTGCTTTTTTACTGGACCAGACGAACGTCAACACGGCGACCGCATCACCCTGTCTACACTTCTCACTCAGAGGTGGGCTCCCACGCTTTCAGAGTCTTGCGGTTGCTGTTGCGATGCATCTGCCGTCCGGTATCACAATTACTTTGCACTTGCTCAAGATCCTACAACTACTCTAGGACAAATGTTTTCAAGGTTCGACAATTCACATCCAAATGAAAGGGAACGAAAGGGGAGGGGATAAAAATTGCATCGATCGGACGGGGGGTTACGCAGGCGGTTTGAGTGGTTGCGGACACCGGCATAGAGGTTCGGGTTGGACCAAGGACCAAGGACCGTTTGACATCCGTCTGGGTGTGACGAGGGACTGGACGGTGGAAATTTTCCCTGGCCGGTCTTCTCTACATATTCCCTTTAGTTTCCCAGTTTCATAGCTTCATGATGAATGTACCTACGTTAGGTACCAATTACGTTCTCGTTCGGTTCCGTGACTGACATCAGAACTGCTGTGTTCTTGTTCCCACCGAGGTTGGTAATTGAGCATTTTTGAAGATGACGGCGATCGAGATGGTTTGTGCAACTGTCCCCGTCCAGTTGCGTACAACGAGCCCCATAGGAGCTGGTTGGTACTTTCCAAGCCGACCTTACTAACTATATGTCGAGCATCTCGACAAGCATGAGATCTCGTTCCCGGTGGTCTCAAGCTGTGATCCTTGGGGATGGCCTGTATTCCCAGAATTACTCGGTGATGTGTACGCTGCAGTGACCTTAAGAAAACAAATAGCCAAACAGAACGCACAAGCATCTCGTCATCGAGAAAACCCGAGGTTCTTGTGGGTCATACGTTGAAAATGATCGTTCGAGGGTGGCTTCTACCGTGGTGGCCTCGATCACAAACTGAAAAGCTTGGATTCAATTTCAAGCTCTGCTCTAGAGCATAAAAGCCAGAGACGTCTGCATATGTTCAAGACGATGGAGGCGTTCATGAGGCCCGCCTTTCCATGAGTTCAGCACCCGGTACGTACCCTTTGCCCCGCATCGCATTCCACTCGGGGTGGATTAACCGCCTCCGTTATCAACCCAGACTTTTCAGACCGATAAGAAAAAAAATTCCCAGGCGGGAGAGGGTCGACACTTTTGGTAGCAGCTTGAGAGAAGTCCCTTCTGGCCGCCTTCACTGCACGGTTTTCTACAACGCAATTTTTGCATTGCAAAGAACCGCCACAAAAACCACACAACATGGACGCCGCCACGAGCAAGAAGAGAAAGTCACGCGACTCCAATGGCGTGAAGGTCTCTAGCAAAAAGCGAGCCGCCGAGGCAGAGATCCCCGCCGCCACGACGACCGCAGAGGCCCCCGCGAAGAAGTCCAAGAAGGTGAAGCGCAGCAAGCAGCCCGAGGCCGAGCCGGAATCCGACAATGAGGCGGTGGAGGAGCAAGTCGAGGCCGGCAGCGACGCCGAAGATGTCGAGAACGAGGAGGAGACGGCCGCCGCCAACTTCAAGACGGCACAAGACGACGAAGACGAGGGCGACGGCTCCGACCTCGACGACGACGTTCACGCGCCCGCAAAGGACACCGCCGACGGCGAAAACGACATCCCCAACGCGCAGCAGCTCTCCCTCCCGCCCGCCGCCGGCGCCGAGGCCCACGACTTTGCCGAGCTCAACCTCTCCGAGAAGACGATGAAGGCCATTGGCGACATGGGCTTCACCAAGATGACGGAGATCCAGAGGCGGGGTATCCCCCCCTTGCTGAGCGGCAAGGACGTCCTGGGCGCGGCCAAGACGGGTTCCGGAAAGACGCTCGCGTTCCTCATCCCCGCCGTCGAGATGCTCAGCGCCCTGCGCTTCAAGCCGCGCAACGGCACCGGCGTCATCGTCGTCTCGCCCACTCGCGAGCTGGCGCTGCAGATTTTCGGCGTCGCGCGCGAGCTGATGGCGCACCACTCCCAAACGTACGGCATCGTCATCGGCGGCGCCAACCGTCGCGCCGAGGCGGACAAGTTGCAAAAGGGTGTCAATTTGCTGATTGCCACGCCCGGCCGCCTGCTGGATCACCTACAAAACACCCCCTTTGTCTTCAAGAACCTCAAGTCCCTCATCATCGATGAGGCCGACCGGATATTGGAAATCGGTTTCGAGGACGAGATGCGGCAGATTGTCAAGATCTTGCCAAAGAACGACCGCCAGACGATGCTCTTCTCCGCGACGCAGACGACAAAGGTCGAGGACCTGGCGCGCATTTCGCTGCGCCCGGGACCGCTGTATGTGAATGTCGACGAGAAGCAGGAGCACAGCACCGTCGCGAACTTGGAGCAGGGATACGTGCTCTGCGACGCGGATAAGCGGTTCCTGCTGCTGTTCTCGTTCCTGAAGCGCAACCTGAAGAAGAAGGTTATCGTCTTTTTCAGCAGTTGTAACTCTGTAAAGTACCACGCCGAGCTGCTCAACTATATCGATTTGCCGGTGCTGGACCTGCACGGCAAGCAGAAGCAGCAGAAGCGGACGAATACGTTTTTCGAGTTTTGCAATGCCAAGCAGGGTACGCTCATCTGTACCGACGTTGCCGCTCGTGGTTTGGATGTAAGTCGCACTCAATCACGCTCTCTGATCAAACTTGTAGACGGACAGTTTGCTAACAGAACTCTTTAGATCCCCGCAGTAGACTGGATCGTCCAGGTCGACCCCCCAGATGACCCGCGCGACTACATCCACCGCGTCGGCCGAACCGCCCGCGGCTCCAACAGCAAGGGCCGCTCCCTCATGTTCCTCCAGCCCAGCGAGGTCGGCTTCCTGACGCACCTGAAGGAGGCCCGCGTGCCCGTGGTGGAGTTCGACTTCCCCGCCAACAAGGTCGCCAACATCCAGTCCCTGCTCGAGAAGCTCATCAACCAGAACTACTACCTCAACAAGAGCGCCAAGGACGGCTACCGGTCCTACCTGCACGCCTACGCGTCGCACTCGCTGCGCACCGTGTTTGATGTGAATAAGCTGGACCTGGCCAAGGTTGCAAAGAGCTTTGGGTTCTCGACGCCGCCGAGGGTGGATATCACTGTTGGCGCGAGCATGAGTCGGGATAAGAAGACGCAGGGGAGGAGGGCGTATGGAAGTCAGCCTAGGAACCAGCAGAGTGGCACCGGTGGGTTTTACAAGAAGCGGTGAGGGGTGTCAGTGGATGATGAAGAAGAAGAAGAAGAAAAGGGAGGGAAGAGAGGTTCTTGTTATTGCTGAGATGGCACGGTTCCTGTGAGAATAGATTTTGGTCAGCACGGCGTCGCGTTCATCAAAAACCATGATGGTCAAAAAATGGTAATTGGGACTTTGGTTTGTTTTATAAGATTCTGGGACTGCTTATGATATGTGATTGTGAAGTAAAGACTCGATGGCCTGTAACAAGGGGGAAAGAGCATCGCCTCTCATTGTCCGCTGCTGACGTATTCTCAATCCAGTCTGAAGAACCCAGACATATCCAAAGGATTTGTCGAGCTCGATGTCTACCGGGACGGCAAGAAACATCCATCTTTCAGAATGAGGCCAGCAAGTTGAGGCCGGCTTGGTCTACTGAGCCCGTCAGTCGGATGGCCGTGGCCAGGGAGCCCGGGATCTGATGCATTGTGAATATACAGAAGAGCTCACCAGAATACTCTATTGAATCTGTTCTTCCACACCGGCTATGGGCCTCAGACCGGGCTCCTCCTGCTTCGCTCACCCCGTCTCCGGGCCACGCAATTCCCCATATCTACACCATCCATACGAGAGTTCGAATCAACCACATTACCGACCCATCCCATCCCATATCTGTTTTCCTCCCACCCAGCGTGCCTTCCTTTCTTGAGAGAGTTTCTTCCAACTCTCTTTTTCTTTTTCTTCTCTGGACCACTACTCGATTATTCTTTCTGCTCCATCCATATATCACCAAGAAGTCGTACGTCTTTTGAGCAAAAAGGGAGATTAACGGCAGGTCGCATACAAGCTTCGCCCTTCCAATCAACAACAAACGAATCACCAGACACATTTTCCGTCTACTTTCTCACCACAGTATCGAGAACCAAAGTCAGCTTTGAGCAAATACCACATCTCGGAGTATCACAGTCAAAAGACAGCTGAAGATTTTACTCGATACCCAAAGAAACGAGACAATACACCAGAGATCACCTCGATCCACAGCCACTCCGATCTCTACTTCCTGCCCCCTTCTTTTAGGACGAACTCTTTGTAAATCAGACATTCAAGTCAGATATCACAGAAAACACCCTCATAGCGATTAAGGGACTGCTAGGAACTCACTCAACCCTCTACAAACAATACCCATCTCAATCCAACAACTCAACCCCCATCATTCACAAAGAATCAACTCCAAGCAACCTCAAATCACCCAAACCACGCCCAAGAACAACCAAGATGTGCACCTACACCTACACCCTGCACACGGCCTGCATGCACAAGCAGTACCAGAACATGATGGAATGCGTCCGCACCCGCACCGGCGACAGCACCACCCGATTCGGCACCTACAGGACCCTCCACGGCGAGCTCACCCTCAACAGGCCCGTCCACCTGCCCGAGGAGGAGCCCTTTGACATTCCGCTCCGGGAGTGTCGCGCTCGGCCCCGGTTCGCTACCCGCCCTGTGTCTGGGCTTTGTGTTGCTTGTAAGAGGGCAGAGAAAGAGAAGCGGGCTGCTGAGGCTTTGAGTAAGTTTTTATTCTTGCTTTACTGTTTATCTTTGATTGTTTTTCTTCTTTTTTATCAAAGATGCCTATCTCGATCTTGGTCCAGCGATACTGCCTTGCCTAGAAGTCTATGCACAGAGAACATTTTATGATTCAGTATTGTTCGAGGTTATATCCGGTGCTACATCTACACCGTGAACAGATCCCTGTTATTCACCATTCTTCTCAATACGCATATACCATGCGGCGTACTCGCTTGGAGATGATGACTGACTAAGGCTGGTGATATAGAAGCTGAGCGATTAGCGGGGGTTGCTGACATGCCGGCGGGTGTGAGAAACAGCATCATGGGGTTGGAGACGCTGGTTGCTGCCACCAAGAGGATGGATCTGGAGGATTGAGGGCTATGATACATAGCCGATCACCTCAGCTCATCCTCTTAGGGGCAGCAACTGGTGATAGAGATTGGAGAAGTGGGTTATAAGGGCGTTCATTAAGGAGAGCAAGGGAAAGTGTTTTTCGGGGCCGTTGGCATGGACTTTAGGAATGATACCCCCCAGATGGAATGATGCGTAACGACATCAATTGAGATTTTCTGGTCTTGATGAATATGGTTCCAGGTCCACGTCAATGTTGAAACGATGTAGAGATGGATGGTGATGGTGATGTTAATGATGGATGTTGGACGGTGGAGGCCGGCGCCGAAGTGACACGGACGCGTGGGGCAACCTACCTTGGACGGGGAAGGGGTCAGCGAGTTGGCGGCGGGCAGGAACTGTGGGGGAAAGAGCACCGAGGGGAGGGGGATCGGCGGGTCCATGCTTTCTTTTTCTTCTTCGAGGTTGGCACCACCGTCTGACGGTTCAGGGTCGGTGGCTTGAACTTGGGGAATGCGTCAGCCACTGATTTCTTCTAGACTCGACCTCCCGTCTCCAGAGACAAATTGAAGACTGGCAGACTTCTCGATTGATGTGTGTGTCTGATTGGATGTGTTTGATTGCTCCCCCCAGAACCGATTGAGCTGATTCAAAAGAGGGGTCTTGTCTGCCGCCGTCGTACTACAGAAACGACACATGACGCTCTGGGCGCTAATTGGCGAGCCATGTGCTACTTGGATCGTCTGGCGTCTGTCAGATTTGTTCTGGATCCCGGTCTACGTACCACTTTCACCTTCCACGCCTACCAAAGGTACCTGGGTACGGACTGTCAGAGGTGTTTAATGCTACTGTCTTTGTACCTAGGTAGAGTAAGACGCATAATGCAGGATTCAGCCAGACTTTCAAGGGGAACGCCAGCCACCAGACATATCAACAACAGGTTCGTCCCGTTGTTGGAGTATTCATGCGCAGATCGATGCAATCATAAGCTGGGCAAGACGATATCAGGGGTCCAAGAAAGCGAGTGTGACGGTGCCAGCCAAAACTCAATTGCTTCACTTCTGATGCTCTGACATGAATACCTTCGTTACCTTGCCAAGGTACGAATAGAGGTACCCTGACCTGACTGCCCCCCCTTATCCACCTGCCTTGAGTCCTTACCCCATGCACCTCGCACCCACGAAGAGAAAGTACCCCGGCCTCAGGTGACAGTGATGGATCCCAATCCTTCCAACATGTTGGATTGCGCCAGCACCAACAGGTATAGGTGCAGATGCGGTTGCAGATTGCAGACACCCAACGACGCGCACTCACACCCTTTTTGCCTCTTACAGCCCACCTCAGAACCTACCTTACATAGTGTGTGTGTACCTACGCAGTACGGAGTACGAATGCGCCTTTAAGCCTTGCAGCATTTGCTGAGCCCATTCCCATTCCCATCCATCATTCCATCCCGTCCCCCATCTTTCCTGGCTCAGGTCCTCCCCGCTTGGCCCCGTCGCAATCCACCAATACATCATACCTGGGCAGGCACCTCACCTCGCAATCCCACGTTTCTACCTATCTCCGTGCGCGCCCGCCCCCATAACTCCAGCCGCAGCCAATTACTACCTTACCTACTGCTACCACTTACCTCACTACTCCCACCACCACCACCACTACTACTACGGCTACATCCTCACAGCATCACCACCCGAGCGAGCTCACATACCCGACCGCTCGTATATCCTTCCCTTTATAGCATCGCATCGTCCTTTTCCCCCATTGCATTGTTTCTTCTTTCTTGCATGCGTAATCCGTAATCGATCCTAACCCCCGCGCTACCGCTCGAAAATGGCCAAGAAAGCGCGCCAGAGGGTCAGCTATGGTATGTCTGTCGTGTGCATCTTCTGTCCGTGCCGCTTTGCTCTGCTGTTGGTGCTCGTGTGCCCGCTGCGCTTCCGTCGCATGTTGGCTGAGGCCGGCGACCGCACCCCCGCACGTCCGCCGGGACGAGCACCTGGAGTCTTGACTTTGATCGCGAGAGTCGGAACTGTCCGCAGCGTTCCCGAGAATGTCAATGGCCTCGCTTGCTAACCACACATGGTCAAACAGTCCTCGAGCTCCCAGCTGGTTCGCAAGGCGGCGGCCACAGGCTAGGCGTCAATGGCCTCGCCGTCGACAAGGACAATGGTATTCTGTAAGATCCCGCGATCCACGATGCAAACCGTTGCCCTCCTGCTATCACTTACTACAACTCCTCTTCCCTGCGCCGCTACCCGCTGACACACTGCTGCGCTTGCAAACAGATACTCGGGAGCCCGCGATGGCTACATTTGCGCATGGGACCTCAACCTCAACCTCCAGACCGGCGGCAGCGTACCACCCCCCGAGACCAAGACCAAGACCACCTTCCGCTCCCAGACCCAGGCGCACATGGCATGGATCAACGACATTGTCCTCGCTAACAACAACTCCGCCGTCGTCACCGCCTCCAACGACCTGACGGTCAAAGTCTGGCGCCCACACTCCGAGACGAACGATATTGCCGCGACCATTGGAGGACACGCCGACTATGTCAAGTGCGTTGCTACACCCCCTGGCGGCTCCGTCAACTGGGTCGCCTCGGGCGGCTTCGATCGCAAAATATACCTGTGGGACTTGAACGGAGGAGGCAAGACCCTCGAGATCGACACTCAGGGCGACGAGGTTGCGGAGAAGGGCTCCATTTATGCCTTGAGCGTCGGTCACAGCATCATGGCCAACGGTGGCCCCGAGTCGGTTGTGCGCTTATGGGATCCGCGTTCCGGCAAGAGAGTGACCAAGTTCGTCGGCCACACGGATAATGTACGCGGCGTCCTGCTCAACGAGGCCGGCGACAAGGTGCTTACGGCCAGTTCCGACCACACGATCAAGCTCTGGAGTGTCACAGCTGGACGCTGTATGTACACATTCACCATGCACGAAGACAGCGTCTGGTCGCTCTTCTCGGATGACCCTGAGCTGGGCACCTTTTACAGCAGTGACAGGTCTGGTTTCGTCGTGAAGACGGACGTCCGCGGCAACCTCGAAGACCTTGACGACGGAATCTCTGTCGCGGTCGCCCACGAGTCTCATTCAATCAGCAAGGTTGTGGCGGCAGGCGATTACATCTGGACGGCAACCAACACTTCGTCGATCAACCGGTGGTCCAATATCGACACAGGCCCCGACTTACAGCTTCCCGAGGCTTTCCAACGCCAGCGGGCTGCGTCCACAGCTTCGAGAACCAGACAGCCCTCGAGTCCTCCACCTGCGAACCCCCCAAAGAAGGAAATCTCACCAAGATCCATCTTGCGCATCTCCAACACGGCAACATTCCCAGTACAAGCCGCTCCTGGCCCAGAATCTCCACCGGCAGTTGGAAATCATGTGCCGCACGGGACCGAGCCTATCAACCAGAACCCGGAGGAGACCATTGAGGGCCAGTTCGGTTTGGTCAAGCACAGGCTCTTGAACGACAGGAGGAGAGTTCTGACGCTCGATACGGCCGGTGACGTTCTCATGTGGGATCTCATCAAGGTATGTTGGCTGCTTGTGTGGCTCGAGGATGAATCACTAACTCTCGTAGTGCAAACCAATCCAAAAGTTTGCAAAAAAGCACCTAGAAGACGTTGAGATTGAAGTCAACACCACAGAAGCTGTAGCTCCGTGGTGCTCCATCGACATCAGCTCCGGAAGTCTTACTGTAGTTCTGGAACCGTTCAACTGCTTCGATGCAGAGATGTATGCGGATGACCTGGAGTTGGAGGAGCCAGTAGAGTTCCGAGAGGACCAGAGAAGTAAGAGCTTCGGGAGACTAAGAATGACCATATGCTAACCGACTCCTAGTCAATCTCGGCAAATGGATCCTTCGCTACCTGTTTGCTGGCTTGATCGATGAGGAAATCAAACGCGATGAAGCGTACCGTGCCACGCTCAACGAAGCCGTCGAACGGAGACTACAAGCAAGCCGCGCAAACCCTCCCTCGTCAATAGCGATTCCTACCGACAACGCGTGGGATGAGAGTTCGGGAATGACACCACGTGCGAATGGCTCTCATTACCCCATGACACCTGGCATGGCTATTGGTCTCGCTACACCGGGGGCTTCTGGCCGCCTTCACGACGTGCCAGAAGGAGCAGCCACTCCATCTAGTCCCCTTGACAACAAATCGTCTCAGTTCAGTCGGCCGTCAACCGAGCGAGAAGACTACTTCACAAGTGCCATTGGGCCGATCGAAGGCGCTTCGAAGCCTACCGCAGCACCCGCAACGCCTGCCGAGCAAACGGCAGCTCCCGATGCCAAGACCCCAGCAGACGCAGGCAAAGACAAGGAGAAGGAGAAGGACAAGGAAAAGGACAAGGACAAGGATGCAACCAATGGAAAGTCGCCCAGCACAGCGTTCGGCAAGAAGTTCCGCATGGGCATGGGCATGTCTTTTGGTAGCAAGAAGAGTGGACGATCGGCGTCGACTACTGCGCCGGAGAAGCCAGCTGTGGTGGACGAGAAGGCTGAAGAATCCGAGGCATCATCAACCCACGAGAAGGAGGTTGATGACAGTTTCCTGGGCGCCATCCAGAAGATTCGCAATGATTACGACAAGTCACTGACTGAGAATCCCGAGAAGCTCATCGAGACAAAGGTTACGCCAAGCTTGGCAAACGACACACCAGTGCTCAAACTGCCTCCTGGTACAAAGGTTGTCCTTCAAGAAGAGACGACTGGTGGAAGTGCCAACATCTATCAGGGTACTGTTGAGACAGTCGGCCAGGGGGCGGATATCATTGAGCAATGCGGCCCCATGTGGTTGGGCGAGGTGCTGCTCCAGAATCAGATCCCTATCAAGGAGCCTGTTAAGGTCTCATTCGTCCTTCAGCCATGGCAGAACAGCTTGCCTGACATTGCAACAACGGATGGCAACAATCGCCTAAACGCCAATAGGATGCTACGCGTTAAGAAAATTTTGGCCTACGTTGCGGAACGCATCGATCCCCAGCCAGAGAACCCAGAACCGGATGCTCTC